AAGACAAACTTGTCAACCTGGAAGCTCTCTCTCTATATATTTATAAAGATAAAAAATTTAAAATGAAGGAAGTGTTTTTAAAAATTTCGTTAGTACATGAAAATATCACAATATACCTATCAAGTCTTTCATATTATGTATTTGAGTTATTCAAAAGTCTTAATATTCTCAGAGATGTCAACTTGCTCCGCTTTGTAAAAAAGTATTTTCTAGTGGTATCGAAATTTAAGTTATTTTTAGTTTAGTATTTTCCATTTTAAGTCATTTTTTTTATCACAACATATCAAAAATTCAAAGTATCTTACGAAATACAATTTTATTGCATTTATCTAGCGGCTAGTCTTTTAAAGAGTAGACGTAAGTTTTCATATGATATAAGTTTTACTATTTAAGTCTTTACCATTTAAGTTTTTACTATTTTATTATTAAGTTTTATTATTATTATTATTTATAAAGTCAGAAAAACTATTTCAGCAGAAAACAAAAATTATAAAGATTTTAAGATATATGTGTTATACAATTTTAAGATATGTGTTAACGCAGCATATGTTAAAATTTTTATAATTTTTTAAAATAATTTTTGTTTTCTGTTAGAATTGTTTTTCTGACTTTATAAATTAAAATAAAACAAATTAGGATTTAGCAGCTTCAAACGCTGTTCTATTTTTATTTATTACTTGAAATGTTATTTACTTACTTGTCTTTTTCTGAATTTGCAAATCAGTTTCATTCTTTGATTAGATCAGTTTTATTATTTAAGTTTTATCATATAAGTTATTATATAAGTTTTTCTAATTCACTACCAATTCATTAAAACTTTTGCATAAAGCGGAGTAGTTGGCATTCTTGTATTCAAGATCATTTCAAATTAACGAGGAAAAAAAAATCTTGTTTTAACTTTTAGGATAAGCCTGCGGCAAAAAGCCTTTGAAGATGAATAATTGTGTTAGCTTCAGTCATGTCTTTAGCAAAAAAAGATGAGATGAAGTATATGTTTCTAACACATTTTTCATTGTAATTTGCATTATTTATTCTCTTTAAAAATTAACTAAGTTGCATTAAAAAGTAAAATTTCGCTTTCAAATCTTTGTTCATGTTGGTTATGTTGGCACGAACATATTCTGAAATATCATTTTGTCGTGCAGTGTAGTCAGTCTAGAAACCCTAATTCAACAAATGTTATAGACCACTAGTAATGTATAACTAATTGCTTTTAAACATTTAGCGACCACTCTTCTTAAAACAACAAAGAGCCAAAAGACGTCGCTTCACTAAGTATGATGTGTCTAAGATCACGCTTGCTAATGTCCTGCCAGACTAAAACTTTCAATTGAAATTTGTCGTTCCGGAAAGGGTTAAAATAGCAACCGGGGCTGTTTATACATCGGAAAAAAAGTAAATATTGGTAAAAAAAAACTGTTTTATATGGAGCTTGTATGCTTTAAGATAGACAGTCGCTTTATTCCAGAAAAATAAATAAATAAAGTAGCAAAACTGTCTGGTTTTTTATGAGATTCTTGTGTAATCAAGACAGAGCACATTTACAGTGAAAACATATACAATTTACGTGCCATATTCTCTGTGTATAGCTTTATAAAATGTTGGTTTAAAAAATATAAAATGAAAATAAAAACCTTATCTAAAATTAACTAAGACTGGTAAATCGATAATACTGGTTACTCTACTAGTCCATTTCTCTTTGCGAAAGAACATTCGTATAAGCGTTATAATTATAAAAATATAAATATTTTTATTTTGATCTGAAATAATCTAAAAGCAAAATTTTTTTAAAACTAATATGTATTTTAAAAAATACAATATCGAGGTCAAACTTTTCAAAACTATAATATTAATTTTAAGCCACCACTAAAAATTATTAGCTTAGTTTATGCATCAATTCTCACTCAATTGTTTCTCAGAAAGTACGAAGTTCCGCTTTTCGCGTTATATCAATGAATAGGATTAAATCATAGTTATTTGCACGTTGAATGCACGCTAATTTTACATGGCATGCTCGTCTAGCCACAACTGTAAATAGCTATAAACTAAATTTGCAAAAAATAGACACATTTTAATGGCCCTGCTTGCTTTAAAATCGGACATAGCAAATATTTCGGACTTTTACCAAAACTGTATTGTTGACATTCACCTGTGAAAGTCAACATTCTTCATATTTCACTCATTAACGGTGACATGCATGAAAAATCTTTAGAATTTGAATGAAAAAGAAAACGACTTATTATTACTTATTTTCAATTTTTGTTCTAATTGCTTCCGCTGGTGTTAAAAGTTCTTCAAATGTTACTTTCGAATAAAAAATAAGTTCATGTTTTAAAACAATTCCAATATGTTGCTTAGAAATTTGCGTTTCTAATGTTCTATAGTTACGTAAAAAAAAAAGGTCGTTCGATTTGTCATCTTTCATATGAAATGAATGAGCAAAAACGTCTAAAGCCTTGACCCACATTCTTTTGATGGTATTTTCCAATGACTTATCGATTATCTTTTGTTCTCTAGTGTATTGGAAGCTAAAAATAATCTTCGAAAATGTTCGAAAGTCAAACAGTATTCGGGTGACACATATGACAGAATTTACTTTTAATATTATTGGATAATATTATTTAAAAAGATAATGTTTAAAAATACCGTGCTGTGCGTTTTGAACTGTAACTGTATTATGACAATAACACTGGAGAATTGTTTTTCTTTTGTTTTCCATTGCATGAGATTTATGAACACATCTAATTTCAAATCTGCTATCGGTTTCTCTTTTCAAGTTACACTTTTCGGTCAATTTAATAATATATTCCTCAACGGGATGTTTTAAAATTAACAAGAGTATGTAACCCCTAGCAACTTCTCTGCTACGTAGGGAGTGGTAGGAATGATATATAAGAAACAATGGGTAAAGTTAGACTGACTAATATTTAATGTTTTTCGAACATCATTGAAAAAGAAACCGAATTGAGGAAATAGTAATTTTTTTAGGATATCATCAGAGATGCCGAATTGCTCCGCATTGTAAAAAAGTATTTTCAAGTGGCAACTTATTCTATGTTATTTTAAATTTAGTATTTTTCCCTTAAAGTAATTTTCTCACCACTACATAGGAGAAATTTCAAAGTATCATATGAAAGGTAACTTTATCGTAAATAATTCTTAAAATAAAACAGTTGCAAAAGTTACAATAATTCTTACAATAACGTTTTGCATCATAATCTCAAATGTATTGTCGCTTTTTTTCCCCTACCACTTCTGACGTAGCAGATAAGTGGGGACACTTAGTATTCATTCGCAAAACAGCTCTGGTTAGGAATATATTATTAAACAGCATAAAATTTGTAGCTTGTAGAGCGAAACCGAATGTGTAGATTTCATTTCAAATCTGAATCGTGAAAATATTTATAATTCGTTCAAAAAAACTCATGTAGCTGGGAAAACGTTGTTTTGCTGTGTAATAGAAACATTATTTAAAAAATATTAAATATTGTTTGGAGAAAAAAAAAATTTTTTCTACCACCTCATTTTAAAAATAAATATTAATTATAAAATCAAATCAAGATTCGAGCGAGAGCATCAGTTGTCCAAAATTATATAAATGTTAAATAAGTGTTAATCCTATTTGACACAATATAAATAAATTATATCAATTATCTCTCTTATAGACATGAAGTTAGTGGCACACTTGGCAGTGATGTTAACAGTTCAATATTACACAAAGAGGTAAAAAATGGTGACTAATAAAATTCAAGAAAAAATTAGCAACTTGGAAAGTATATATTTTTTAGTTAATAATTGCAAAGATTGCTTTCGTTTCAAATTTGAAATGTAAGTCATAGTGGTAGTTGCAGTTAGAATAATTAAAGAGATGATAAATAAATAAAAATTGAGTTTCTACTACTTTTTACATTTTAAGTCGCCTGTTGCAACCCTGTAATTTCGATGTGACAATCATTTTAGTTTTAAAAATGTTGCCAGTGCATAATATAATTTCAGATCAAAATATAAATACCTATATTAATGGTGCAATTTGATCAACTCAAATGTTCGTCAAACTAAAGTAAAAATCAATTAAGTCATTTATTTATTGTTTTAATTTAATACTTATAATTTACTTACTAATTTATCTTTTTAATTTAGTAAAAAAAGATCCAGAAATAAGCTTATGATGACATATTTCCGACTGTGGTTGCATTTCAACAATACTTAGTAGTTTTCAAAAAGCACCTTATTGAAAAAGTGGTAGGAAATTAGCGCATAGGCTAAGGTGTTAGTTTCTCATATGATTACCACTTTTGCATTTTGGCAAACTATTGCTGATTCTGCTGGAGAACTTATTAAATGGGTAACACACATAAATTCGAATTTTTATGGTGCAACCATGTTAAAAGTGCTATTATTAAAAGAGTGGTAGCATATTAATATTTAATGTGGGTATTATCTTATATCAGCAATGTTTAAATAAATCACTATTCCAGAGATGCCAACTTGCTCCGGACAGCAAATATATATTTTAAAGTGGTAGTTTATCAATTGTGATTCTTGTTTTAATAAATTCATTTTAGTAGATTTTTATCCAACAATGTTTCTAAACAATTCGAAGGCTTATATAATTCACCACTTTATAGTACTAATGTACCTTTTAAAAAGCAAGCGAAAATAGTCAAATGCTTGCAAAATTTACTTTGTAGTTATTTACCGTTTTTTAAATTATTTTGGGGTGTCCGGAGCAGTTGGCATTTCTGTAAAAGAATTGTGCTACCAGATTTTCTCTTTTGAAAATGAGAGCTGAGCTGTCATCATGTGAGGATACTAGGAGGTAACAGATTAATGTGGTAGCTAAATTTATACACTAGTGAAAACAATTGAAAGAATTTTTTTTAATTAAAAAAAATAAAGCAAATATAAAACCAAACCTGGCAAAAATATTGTCCACAATATGTTATGGAAAAATGGCAGTAGTAAAATGAACGTGGCAATTAATTTTCTAAAAGTCTTACTTAATTCTAATTCGTCGTCAGCAGCGTTACCAACAGCGTGTATAAGAGAGACTGTTCCACTTGCATTATTTGCTTCCAGTTTCATGAAATATACTCTATCGCTGACAACTTGACCTTCGGCGTCGATAGCTTCTTGCTCACTCTTACAATGCTCGTCATGCTACAATGTAATAAAATGTTTTTAAAAAAACGTATCCGCGTCAATAAAATTTAAAAAGTACATATGGAACTAATATATGCCTTATGTAGGTTGTCCCATATTGTAATATTAACTTTTTGGCCAGCAATTTAATGGGAATGTCAAAAAGAAGTACACGAGTTGGGCAAAAATAAGGAAATGCTTTTAGACAACCTCTATGTGAACAATTCTTCCTTTAGTAGTGAATGTTTTGGAATATTTTACATTGTAAAACTGTTGGCACAATTTGAAAGATAATGTTTGAAGCTTTCAGAAATGGTGTGACCTAATATCTATGAAAAGTCGTACAACACCATCACCTCCTACATCAGAAAACCTCCACTTGGGATTTTATAAGTAAAACAAATCAGTTGTGCGCATGAACCCAAATCGTATTTTAAAAGTAATTGAGATAAATTTATCATCTATACTTGAGAATTGAATCTGCAGAGGTTGACAAGTAAATAAGACAAACCCCAATCAATTTAAAAATTTTTAGACATATATTTGCTACCACTTTTTAATTATTGATTTATTTTATATGTAATGACTTTTTCCTTGACCAAAGCCCACGTAAAACCGCAAACGCCCAGTAACATTACAAAGAATGAAATGAGTTTTCTTCACAGAAGTCTAATTAGACTACCGAAAATGTCCGTGTGGATTAAGTCCGAGAGAAATAAATCACAGCGAATAAAAAGGAAATACTTTAATGTTTTGGGAGATCAGGTACCATTTGATTTATTTGCCCCGATGTTTGGAGAATGCTTTTTTTTTAAAAGGTGATATTGAAAATGGAAAGAAATTTTTAACTCTGATCGATCTCCGAATTTTACGATGGTAAAAATAACACCATTTCTAAAAATATTCTAGCATAATTTCTCAAACTGTGTCAGCAGTTTTGCTATGTAAAAGTTTCCAAAACATTCGCTGGCAAAAGAAAAATTGTTTACTTAAAGATAGTATAGAAGTGTTTCAATATTTTGATAACCCTTGTATATGTTTTGAACATATTCCTTCCAAGTTTAGGTATTTCATCTACAAAAATGCATTTTGGTCTTACAAAATATTTGAATGGCAGTTTTACCCTAATGCTCTTTGTAAAGTCCAGAGCATAAAATTAATAAAAAAATATGCTGCCACAATCTCTCGTTTTAAAAAAAAAAAGAAAAAAAAAACATTGCTACCAGCATTTAAGTTTTTTTCTTATTATTGATCTAACTGTTGCAACATTTTTTATGCCCGAAATGCCAACTTGATCCGGACAGCGAATAAATATTTTCGAAAGGTGGTATTTAATGTATGATTCTTGGTTTTGTTAATTTGATTTTTAGGGTTTTTATTCACCACTACTTCTAAATAATTCAACGGCTTACGTGATAGGCCCCTTTGTTACAATTAAGCCATTGGAAAAGGTCGCTAACGGCCCCAGGGACCAGATATATTTCGATGATGATGATGATGACAATTAAGCCATTAATTCTGTCGCCGAATGCAGTGAATGCCAACTTGCTCCGGACAGCAAATAAATATTTTCGAGTGGTAGTTTATTAATGTGTGATTATTAAATTAATAAATTCACTTCACTAGGTTTCTATTCACCACTCTTTCTAAATAATCCAAAGGCTTGTATAATTCGCCGCTTTGTAAAGTTAAGTTAGTTATTTATGTAGCAAAATTTCAAAATGTTTTTAAACACAATGTATATATGTCACGATGTATGGGATAGGGGCCGCTGCGCGGCCCAGGTGCCCAGTTCTTTTTAAATAAAGCAAAGCAAGCAAAGTTAAGTTATGCTATCTCGTTTAAAAAGTAAGCAAAATTAGTAAAATATTAGCAAATTTTAGTTTGTAGTTGTATACCGTTATTTAAATTATTAAGGCTCGTCCGGAGCAGTTGGCATCTCTGCGAAGGGCACTATTTTCGATGAAGGAGTGAAGTGTCCACTTAGATGGACAGGTACTCCGTAATCAACCTCGGTTCAAGTACTGGTAAGCCGTGCTGAGCCTTTTAAAAAGTTGGCGAAATATACCGAAGAATCTGAAAATTTTAATTTCTAGTTTTCTACCGTTGTCGTAGGCCAATAAGATATTGAGGCTAAGATTGTTTTTGTTTTCTAGAGGGGCCATGTCTGGCCAAGAATTCGACTTCTGCACACCCATACGTCACACCAGCTTTTCGAGGGGACCCAATCATACATTCGTTCCTTCATCCATAGATTAATATTTTGACCTGAACAAGAGAACGATCAATCTCCAATTCAGTACTCCCAGAAAGATAATTTGTTATGGGAACATGGAGGACTTAGTGACCCGTGCACCAGTCACCATTTACTTCACGAGGAGTCTTCAGCCGGCGGGATTCGAACTTCCGTTCTCACGAACGTGATACCAGCGCCCTGCCAACCAGGCTATTCCGGCCGTTTTCTACCGTTTTTAAATGTATTTTGTCGTATTTTTAAATAAAAGTAAAGGACTACGAACTAAAAATTTTTAGACATTAGGTTAATTCTCCTAACTTTTAAAAATACTCAACACGGCTTAACTGTAACAATATAACAAAAAGCCTTTGAATTATTTAAAAGTAGCGGTGAGTAAGAACTTAAATCGAATTTACCAAATCAAGAATCATACATTAAAAGGCTACCCCTCTAAAATATTTATCTGCTGTCCGGAACAAGTTGGCACCTCTGCTTTATACGAATGCGTCAAAATGCAGGAAAGTAATATTAATACTTAGTTGACTAAATTCTCTTTATCAAAAAAATATCTTTTCTATAATGCAAAAATAATTAAATTCGAAAAAATTAGAATTAAATCCAATTTGCAGGGTTGTAACAGTCCTTGTGAATCAGGACAGTGTTATTTTTATAAAGTTAAAAGTAGGGAGAAATTTGCTTTTATATCTTTTTGTGTCCTGATCAATTTATACTTTCGTTACTGCGATAGCTCATAAAAATTTAAAGCATATGCGTTTCTAGAAAATTATGCACTCATCTTAGAATACTTATTATTTTATTTTTATAACCGTCATTGAACAGTCGGCCCAATTTTTGGGCTTATGACTACGAAAGTTCAACGCCGTAGCCTTGAAATTTTGAACCCAATCCGGAAGACAAAGGAACTCCTGGAACCCTTTTTGATGGAACTAACCCGAATTGACGTTACATGGAGAGGAAAACCTCCCACGGTTAATCTGGCGGCAAGGAGCCATGATCTGTCTACACTGAGGATAATTTATATCAGCACTGTGGTCAGTGCGAACGGGGTGCGGAATTCGTATCAACCAGCCATTGCACTCCTTTTATTATTTTAAAGCCTATTACTGGATTTGTTTATTTTTATTGACAAAAAAATGTCTGAAAATATTAAAGAAGTAACATATATTGATGTTAGTGTATGAGTAATATATACAACATATTATTTGAAAGGAACGCTTTTTTTAATTCTTTTTTAAATAAAGCGGATGAATAATTTAAGCCCAGATATAAAAGAACTGATAATAATACAATATAATTTTATAACTGGGAGTTCCCATTTTCTGTGCTAAAAAAAAAAAAAAAAAAAAAAAAAAAAAAAAAAAAAAAAAAAAAAAAAAAANTTTATTTTGAACAAAGTAATGGTGAATTAAATAAATCAAAAAATTATAACTCCGCCTACAAATAAACTGCTAAAGAAATGCTTTGATTACCAGTTTTATCTTCTTACCCTGATTGATACGGTTTTTTGCTGTCACGTATTTGTGACAGTCGGCGCGAAAGGGTTAACAAGTCTTTGCAATTCAGGTTATAGTGTGCTCTGTAATCGCAAAATTAAAATAAAACAATTGTTTACGATGTAGAAAACTTACGAAATACATTTAGATCTTAAAAATAAGAATTGCCTCGTGTGATGTTTTGAAAAACCTGATTAATGACGCCAAAATCGATCCTCATTTAGCACTAAATACTTTTGCGGAGGGGTTGAGTTTGATATCATTTGCTCAGTTTCTCAATACATCACACAAGACAGTTTTTAAATTTTTTGATTTGATCTATATTTTCCCGGGTATATTTCCATTTTGAATAAAAATTTTTTAATCACTATCATTTGGTCTATTATAGAATCCTCTGAAAATAAGAATATAAAGACCTAATAATTGAAATGTATTAATTTTTTCGAAGAATCCAAATCCGCAATAAAACATGGTGGATTCTGCTTGAGATTTTAAAGTGTACCCAACGTCATATTTAGGGGTGAGTTTGAGGAGGTTGATATCTTCGTAAATATCTTTCGAAAATGTTTCATACGCTCACATTTATATTTTTAATCCGATGCAATTTTTCGAGATATTTAAACACCGCTTCCCTACTTGTTGGAAACCCTGTATGTACTTTTAAATTAAATATAAGCAGTGATATTTAAAATTTTACTAAATTCAACTTATTAAACCGAAAATAAAATCTTAATTCATATACTTTGATAGCAATAGCAAAAATATTTTGTAGTTTCTGCGCGAATTCCGTAGCAGAAGGAGGTTAATTATAGATGAATTATTAAAAAATAATTATAGATGAATAATTAAAAGTCCGTTTCATATGGAACAACCTAATATTTCCTGTATAAAATGATATGCCATACATACACCACACAGAATGTCCAATGCCTTATTTTGAGTTAGAGGAGATTCGGGTAAAAGGGAATACCATTTACTTTTGGTAGAATAATTCCTTTCCTAAATAAATTATTACACATAAATACAACAATTATAGTGTTATCACTTGTGTGTGCGAAACTACTTCTCTAGGGTGTATGGAACTAAAATCGGCTTGACTTGGCTACTGTGAATACTATATAATCTAATATATACTCTACATACTAAATGCTCTAATACTCTAACTCTAATTAGCTACAGTGAAAACTAAAATGAAACTACAAAATTCTCTAGAAAATCTATTACGAAAATTTCACTTCGTAGTTCCAATAGAATAGTCGGGTAATATGGAATAGTAACTTTGCCGAAGAACAATATTTTTTGAAAATCAACATTACTAACATATCTTGGCATACTGTTGCTAACGCGCAACAAATGCAAAAGGGATCATTTTTTGTACTTATTTAATACTTGGTTAATTTTCTGCAATTTTTAGATTTATTTATAAAATTTCATTTAAATAATCAATAATTTACAACCAAGCTAAGCAACTTGTAAAATTTACTAAAATACTTCATATCAGTTAATGTAAAATTATTTCTAAAACTTCACTTTGTAGAGTCCATATCCCTTAAGGAGTCAATATCCCTTAATGAGTCAATCCCTTAAAGAGTTCCATATCCCTTAAAGAGTCAATGTACTTCCAAGACTATTGTTTTATGAAAGCGAAACCAGCAAATTCTTTTCTTGTACACTTAATAAACGATTAGTAGTTTAGATTAAAAAATTAATAACATGATTCTATCTTTCATAACATTTCAAAAAATTCCACAATTTCTTAATTTTTAGCACTTTTAATTTTTTAATGTTTTTCCATATTGCTCGACTATTCCAAATTACCCGAATCTCCATTTCACAATTCTGAAATATTTTATGTTGCAAAATCCAAAACCTCATAGCAACAAATTTAACTTTATTATCTAAGTTTTGTTACACACCGGGGCTAAGCTTTTAAAGACGGTTGAGTTTTGTAACATAATATATTATTTTCATATTCTATTAATAACAGGTATTACATTTTAGGTGACCAAAGTCCTCAGAAAACTAAAAAACCCGGTAATATAATTTTTAAACAAACGTTTAAAAACTCACTGCTAAAAGATCTGGTGGTAAAATTTCTAAACAAATGTTTGAAAACTCACTGCTTTAACAAAGCACTCACTTCTAAAAAAACCCGATTGTGAAATTTCTTAACAAATGTTTGAAAATTCACTGCTAAAAAAATCGGTAGTAAAATTTTGAAACAAATATTTGAAAACTCACTGCTTTAACAAAAATCTCACTGCTAAAAAACTCGACGGTAAAATTTTTTAACAAAAACTCACTGCTTAAAAAACCGATAGTAAATTTTTAAACAGACATTTGAATACTTATTGCTGAGGACAGAAATTTCTCGGCAAGATCCATAGAAAAATTTTTTTTTTTTAAAATAAATGTAGGGATGTGAATCTTCGAATGTTCTTTTAGAAATTTTGTTAAAAGTTTTTTAATTTTCCGAGGAATGCTAGGCAGCTTAATTATATAGTGAAAACAAATAAGTAGAAAACCTGTCCCCACAACCTTTTTTAATAAAAAATCAGAGGCGAATGTGAGAGTCATTAAAATTTTGCTGCTACACAAATCAAATTGCTTGCTTTAACTATAATATTCTCTATAATTTTGATGGAAATAAAATCTCTGATTTTTAAAAAAGAAATATTTAATGAAATTCAGTACTTTATAAGCTGCCTGATGTTTTAACTATGTTTATGATACAAAATAAAAACATGGGATAAATTAACTTATGGGATAAATTAACATTTATCAAATTTAACTACACCTCAGTAGTTTAGTAAAAAATGATTTAATTAAAGCTTTACAAATCACTCCAAATGAGAATAATTAAGTTTAACCAGTTTCAGATATTAATGTACTAAAATATTTTTTAATTATTAAATTCCATGTATTCACATAAAAATGTTTGTTCCGATTTGAGAAGGCAATGTTTATAACAACAAATTAAAGTGAAATTTTGAAATATATGCATCGAACAGAAATTTGCAGAAAAAGAAGCATTTTGAATATTGGGTTCTATATTTCGATTTTAAAAAAAATTTGATAATTAATATTTAGTTTGCTCTATGATAACTCTCCAAACATGTAAAATACAAGGTCTTCACAAAATTAAAATGGCGAGGGCGTTATTTTAAAACTTCAACGATATTCTTTTTTTTTTTACTTTCCAGAAATTTATGCTAATACAATTCTACATACAGCATTTTCAGAAGGGTAATTTATCATTATACTTACTATAAAAAGAATTTATTTAAAAAAAAAAACCAAAACAAATTTTATGTAAATAAGATAACTTGCAAAATAACTTTCTTGCGAAAGATGTACTAAAATTTCGAAAGAAATTCCAAAAACTATCCAGGGCTATTTCTTCCAATATCCTAAAGGGAAAGCCTTATTTTCCACCTTTTTATGAAAGTATGTGCTATTGAATGTTTGTTATCATATTGTATTAAGATGTTAAGAATCAAAACTACAAAAAGTTTGTCTAAAATCCAAGATGGCGTTGGAAAAACATCCTATACGGAAACGTGAAAGCAACGAACTACAGTTGTAAACTGAAAAACAAACGTTCAAGAAACCTTTAAAGAACAACTTCATTCTTTTTATTTACATCTTATCTTACTTCTATAAGAGAAGCCATTAAAATGTTCTAGCTTCCGAGGTGCTGAAATAGCCTGAGAACTAATTAAAAATCTGTTATTTCAATTGATGCAACTAAAATCCGTTTTTAAGGGAATCCTGGGCACATTATTGTAATTTTTGTGAAAATGTGTGTATTGTTTGGTATTTTCTATTTTGTTCTTATATATCTCTATATGTATACAAAAAATGCTCACGTATCTGATTCGAAACATTTTTAAAAAAATAACGTTTAAAATTTTTTACAAAACTGAAAATATTGTGTTTCAATTTTAATTTCTTTTGTTGTCTATTTTGAATTAAAATGTCCATACTTAAGTTATGTTCAATCGAATTTAGCTGTTCGGGAAAGGGTTAAAACACCAGAGAATATGTATGTAGCTCTGATCCTGAAGCTAGGCACCCGAGGAAGCTTGAGACCCTTCTATTTAAATATTGCGCGATCGGACTACCTTTCTAATTGATTACATTTCTATGTAGTGGTAGGTAAAAATCTTTTAAGTCTAATTTTGCAACTACTGGATCTATAATAATTTTTTAAACTATAATTATTTTTTAAACTATGGAAAATTTGTATCAGTTGAGGGGTATCAGTACTGTTCCACCTTTCAACACATTAAAGGCTTTACATATGGTGCGAACATTTTTGTTATATATTTTTGCAGGTTTATGTAACTTGTTCTGTTTTTTATAGCATTCTCGTCATTATATTCAAAATTTGAAGATGATAAAAAATATCTAATTAGTTAGAGCGGAATTCAAATAATAATTATTATTTCGAATTTATTCTTACCTGCTCACCGGTGGGAAATAATAAGAGAACGGCTTTGACTTTCTTTGGTAAGTTTTCTAGGTGCTCGTCTTCTAAGTCAATAACATCAATCATAGACCATTCTTCTGGTACTCCAACACTGCTCAAGAACTAAAAGACAAGAAAAAAGGGTGTTTTTCGATACGGTAGGATGATTCTTTTTGTTTTCATATTGTCAAATAAATATAAAGTACTATCACGCAAGTAACAACAAAGATTGGGATTTAAGAATTGATAGGATACCTGCTAACTTTTACTCATTTGGCGTAAAATTTTATTTCTATATTTAAAGTAGTAGTAAAATGTATGCATTCTATATATTCCTTGCATTTATAAACATATCAATAATTTATAGTCTTTTTAAACACCACTATTTTTTTTAAAAAAATTAAGCATATATATAAATATAATTACTATTTCACTTATTATGTTTGAATATAATGTTTCTTTTTGTTCAAATAATGATTAATTTATCTATCTCCAATTATGTCTGTAAATAAGTACCAACGCTGGATATTGGGGTTATCTCCACGTTTGGCGCGAAGCGCCACTAACCGATTCATCGATTCTGTTTTGTCGTATTCTAGGAGGTCCTAAATATCTTTGAAGTTGTAGTATGTTGTAACGACAAATCAAGTCCTAATAGAAGTAAATCTTCAGTTTTGAAGTGAAAATCATCTTTGGAATGGGGAAATCCCCTTGAGTAGAGTTTTATGATATCCAACGTATATTTTCAAATCATGCCTGTATATAATTATCATATTTAAACTGATACAAAATGTTTTTAATTTATCAAGCAAAGTGCTTGACTTTTTAACTACCATAATGTTGCTTAAATCAAAATGTTTTAAATCAATGAATATAATTATTTCATGATGTATGGGTTAGGGGCCGGTGCGCAGTTCAGTCACCCAATTTTTGCTAAATAAAGGAAAGGAAAGTAGTGAAAACCGCATAAACTCTCTCAAAATACTGCGTACGTTTCAGCCTAATATATTAATTTAAATTTCATTTTACTACCATTAGGGAAATTAATCCCCAAGAGGATTAAGAGTTGGCTGGTATGGAGCTTACAATACCATGTTGGAACTCATAAAGCTCTTTATACTTGACTTTTTTAAAAAACAATTATAGTGGTACAAGATTTCACATGTAAATATAAATATAGTGTAACAGTCCAAAAGTACAGAGTTACCATGGGAGACTAAAAATTTAATAAGTGGTGACTAATAAAATTCAAAATCTGTTTAAAAGAGATTAAAATTAACATATTTTTTTCTAGCACCTAGCATATTTTTTCAGTTTACTATTGAAGGGCTAATGCATAGTTATAGTTTTAGGATTTCTCAAGGCTTTCAGCCTTGATGAGCCTTTTACCTTTTTATAATGATTTATCGGATCATATTCATCGTGATTTGCGTTGGAAATAAAATAACAAAGAAAAATGAAAGTATGCTGCGATAATTGGTAATAAAGTAGTTGAGTAAAATAAACGGAATTTATACGAAATAGAAATTGACTGTAGGATGCTGGATATTGGGGTTATCTCGGCGTTTGGCGCGAAGCGCCACTAACCTATATTGACTGTAGCTTTATAAATTAGGATAAAAGTACCAAAACATTCTCAGTATAGTGGTAAATTAATTAAATTTGTTAGATAAAATATCATCTAAAGTTGCAGAAGTGGTCTGAATGTTTCACCTTTCAGCAGTTCAGTTTTAAAATATTTTAATAGTTAGCTGCATGGCAATAGAGTGCTTTATTGAAGACTTGTCTAATAAAGTTTCCGTGTGTGTCCTTATTTCTTTCAAAATAAGAAATTTATATTCCAGATATGCCAACTGCTCCGGACGAGTCCACTAAACTTTTCCGCTTTAGAAAATTTGAATGAGAAATTAGATTCTCTAAGAAAAGCTAAAGCTTCTTTAGAGAAATTTAAAGCAAATCTTGAAGTTGAGAAAGCAGAATTAGCAAATGAAGTAAATGCCTTGTCCACATCAAGACAAGATTCTGAAAGGAAGAGAAAACAGTTAGAATTACAGTTACAAGAAATGACTGCCAAATTAGCTGATGTAGATAAGAGTAGAAGTTTTGTCTAGCGGTTGGGAGGTGACCTGTTTTTAGAGATGACGCGCTGGTGAGTGAATCCTAGATTCTTTCCCCTTTTGTATAACATTTGCTGGAGTCTACTAAACTGGGTGCTGGATCGTCTACACTAGAATGGCATATGGTAGGAAGTCATATGTTAGAGTTCATCAAGTAATTTCAAAAAAGAGTTCAGGTCATCATTGGAGTAGAGCATGAATTGTGGCTAGATGATCATCATTCAGATGGGGAGACCCCATTAAGTAAAGTTTGAAGCAAGCTGTGATCGGCTTGTGGAAAAGGCTTAGTCCTGGATGTTGGATTAGACTTGGGCTCCGGAGAGGAGTGATTGCAGCATCGTCACTAGTTCGGCGTTTTGAAGGAGCTCTTGTATCTCTTAAAAGATGCCGAGCCTATTAATTCGTTCGTTCGTTGTTGTAGAACTGGGCATCTGAGGCCTAAATGGCCCTTTTCCCATTCATCTTGAAATATACCATAACGCAACCATACATAGGAAAGATCATGGGTGAAAGCCCTTATATAGCAAGACGGAAAAGAGAAAACCCTGGTACGTAAAACATTTCATTCCAGCATTTTTTTCGAAAAAAATGAAATATCTCTAACTATCAAGATTTCTTTTATAATTCTGGCATATATATAAAACTGCTTCTTTTCCAAGATAAAGTAGATATTGTTGAAAAATTTAAAAAAAGAATAAGTAAACTCCTCCCCAAAACTAGCTATAAC